TAACCTCATTTGGTTTCAATCAAGTTTTCAAGTGTATTTCAAGACTTCATTTTCTTTGCTTGTCTGTGTTAAGATCAGATCATAATACAGACCCAGAGACCTTCCCTTCCAGCCACCAGTGCTGAGCTCTGTTGAACTGAGGTCAGTCAGCTTGGGCCAGGTCCCAGCACATTGCAGTGATTTATGTCTCACTGGAATTGTCTGGTGACAGCTCACCTTTTCCAATTTTACTTAATTTTTCTGGATTCCGCACTTGTGCAGAGGTGAAGTTCCAAAACACTGGAGGTGCCCACTCGTCCCAGGCACTTGCCCTTTCTATCCCACACTCCGTGCTACTCATAACTATCCAGCCTTTGGGCAGATCCCTGGATGATGTTCTTACCTGRTTGTGTAACCTTACACAAGACCTGAAACGCATTCACGCATCATAGCAAAGGTTTGGACACCTTGAGGATACTGGGACTTCCCAAGAGCTGTTGTAAGTCRCCTGGAGGAGAAGGAAAGAATGGCAGAGAGGAATTCCCCCATGGATAGGCTCTTGGAGGGTTAGTTAGGAGTCATTTGCGACACGTAGCTCCTGTTGTGTAGGCRAAGCGGCAGTGTTGGGTGGATACACTGCCTCATTCCTGCCAACAGGAATCTTATCCTGACAAAAACCTGAGTTACAAAGTACRTGAACATCATAAACTTAACCCAGAGCTGAGAAACGACACAACAGGGAATGCACACAGCAAGTAAGATGTTATATAATGCAGCTCTGAGAACACACACTCTGAGATCACATAAATCAGCATAATGAGCAGCCACCATATCTAGTACAACAAATTGCTTAAACCAAATTTGTCTTTACATGTCAGAACTGTGGCTATCTTAACCCTTCATGTCCCATGGGTTGGGTGCCAAAAGAGACTATTGTGGTTTGGCCCAGCAGGCAGCTCAACACCACACAAACCACTTGCTCACTCCCCTGTTGCCATCCCAGGAYGGGGAAGAGAACTGGGGGAAGAAAAAACCCATAAAATTCACCCACTGAGATAAAGGCAGRTTAATAGGCCAGAAACAGGAGGGGAAACAAAAATAACTACCATTAAAAATTAGAATATACAAAACAAATAATGCACAATGCAGCTGCTAGACACCTGCTAGCTGGTATCCAGCCAGTTACCAAGAAGCAGCTCCCAGCCAGCTTTWTTCCTAGCTGGTAACACTGAGCTTTACACCACATAGTATGGCATATCCCTTCAGTCAGTCAGGGTCAGCAATATCACTTGTGCCTCCCAGCCTCCTCACTGCTGTTGTGGTGTGAAAAACAGAAGAGTCCTTTACTTAGCACTTAACACTTCACCCATCAGTGTGTTATAAAAATTATTCTCATCCTAAGTCTAAAATCACAGAACATTATTCCATCTACCATTATATCATCTAGGGTGAAAATTAACTCTATCCCACCCAAAATTAGGACAATTGTATACTGAAAGAACAAGCTTGCATCTTGCCATTTAGAAACTTTCCAACATTTTTCAGACTGCTTGGGTAAGAGACAAAGACTTGAGATTTCAAAGTTTCACATTTTTTTATCATTAAATATATATTTTAACGAAGTCTTTCTGCTGCCCTGATACACTAYCAGTGTCCAGTAAGGACTTAGTAAACTAAAAAAGACTTTTCCTTAAACAAACATAGCTAAAATGTAGAACTTCCTCCAAATAGTCAACAAACTCTAGGTAAAAACAGTAGCTCCTTGATTTTAAGAAAACTGACAAAAAAAAAAAAAGGAATCAATGTCATTGTTTTTAGAGGAGTTTCATAATTKCAGTGAGGTAAATAAAAGTGTGATTCAGTCATGTAAAAATGCAAGGCTCACTAAATAAAATAAAGTTAGACAATATGACTAGAGACAATTCACCAATAAGTGAGTGAAGGGTTAGAAATGTAAGTACATAGATAGATAAAGCCAACTAAATATGCTAAGTTTGACAATAAAAACCCTATATATTACCTGGGCTTCATAGGCAAAAAAATGCAGMACATCCACTTTAACCAGCTCACTCATGTCACAAGCAGTCCAAAAATTCCCACTGATGCAATGCCTGCAAAGCCCATTTGATAGGTGGGTAAATGTTTAAGCAGCACGTTTGTMTTTTGCTCCCGGCAACAGAGGCTACACTCCTACTTTTAATATGTCTATATTACTATAAACCCAGTATCTGCACGTGACTCAGCCTTGAGAGAATGACAGATAACAAGAACAATATTAGTGACATAACATATAGGAGTAGTGGCCAAAAATTTGCTTGCATTTCTAGGCAGAAAAGCTTCTGTGGCATCTTAAAAGAATAGACATTTGAAAGTTTGTTCTTAAAATTTCCAGCCCTCCTGTAATTCCAGGAGCAGTTAGAACCACTAGAATGTTGATATAAATGAGATTATGTAGAGATCGAGAAGATTAGTTCTACGTCAGACTTTTGTTTTATTCAGAGGTTTGGCTTCCTGCCCTGTGCTCAGGSAATAAATTGACTGTAACAGAGCTGCTTCTAGCATTCTGTTCAGTAGCAGTATCCCAGCAGAGACAAAACCACACAAATAAGGTAAGCAAGAGTGGAAGATTACAGTATGGTTAAATAGGCTTTAATTTAAGATTATATATCAGAATGCTTGTTTAGATTCTTGAAACAACAATTTTTTCAGTTGACTTGAATGTTTTCTTATGAAATATCTTTGTTGATCTAGTTTATGTGCATTTTTATGTATTCCTATGTCTAGTTTAGATGATAGATTTTGTAAAGTCTGATTTGAAAGAGATTATAACCTCATTATATATTAGCTATAGGATGCCAGATGTTYTTTTTAATCCACTGCTAAATTGGAACAAACTTGGAGGAGTTACTATGATCTTTATTAAAAGGACTGACAGCTGCAACCCAATACCCTCAATAAAAACAGGGTTGTGACCCTGTAAGGATTTTAGATATACCTTGTTAAGATTATACCAATACACTGTGAAATAATATTTGGAAATGAATATTTGGAATATGAATGAAAGCAAAAAATTTTTAAATGTTGTTTTCATGTACTGAATTTGGTTTAATTTAATTTTATGATCTGATGTGTCATAGGSTTAAGTGAAAGAGAGAATGATGATTAAGAATAAACTAGATCACCAAAGGGGCAAGAGAGGTTATATAAAAGATTTTCATTGCTGTCTTCATATAAATTAATTTATGTAGACTGTGTAGCATGAAAAAAAATCAAATTTCATCTGCATTTAGTGTGGTCTTTTTATCATTGGCTACAAACATACACACTTGAATCTGGTTTCAGCAGTTCAAATTGCTTTAATTCCCTTGTACTTAGCTTACATGCAAAATGAAACAAATCAGATTCAAGTTTCCAAACCAGTGGTTGACAGGCCTGTAGTCAAGAACAATACCTAGATCTTCCTAGTCCTCTTCAGTGTATATCTTACAGAAGAAAGAACTGAGGATAAGTATGAAAGACCTTAAGATAAAGAAATTGGCATGGGAGATATACACAGCATTATAAACTACAACAAAGAATGAAAAGCATGGAAGTGGGTGACAGCTCTGTAAGAACATGTCATGACAGGAAAGGTTAATTGAAATGGGAGTATTTATATGTCATTCAGTCTTAAGGAATATATGAGGCAACTCGAAGTATGAAAGCTTCTGTTACTTACTGTGGAGAGCTTTAATTGTTCTTGAGAGCCAGCAGAGGTGAAGTTCTACTACGGGCTTTTCTGTTTTCTACTTGTTTAAACAAGACAGAAGAATTGCACTTTAGTGCAGTCCTTCAGAATGTCAATATTTCCTGTCCATCATTCATCATAGAAAGTTTCCCAAGAATTTATCTACTTCTTAAATGTTTCTGAAAATGACTTTGAACTTTCCTGCCCTCTTCAGGAATTCTTCTGAGTCCCGACTTGTGAACATCCTCATTCTTTTCTTACAGTTGTAAGTAATRCAGGTGTAATATTCTGAATGTAGATCCAAATCAGGAATTGGGATCTTCAGACCTTCCAATCAAGAGCAGCCAAACTAGAATTACACTTCTTTTCAGTAGGAATCTTCAGTAAGTGAATGTCTGGTTTTGGGCCTTATAGAAGTAGCAAAGTCTCAATGCTTTGTTATTGCTGAACACCTAGAAAACTTAAATCTCTCAAGACCCCTGGTGTTACTGCCCATGCACACCACAGTGACTGATTCAGATAGGAGTTTCCAGAAAGCAGGTTCCATTTAGGGCTTAGTAAATAAAACACATAGAATGTTTTCTTTTGCTTAGAATGCTCAGTGATAGAGCAGTTTCAGCCAGATGAGGAAGAYCCAGTCTTTAGTTTCTACCTCTGACTACAAGTTATGAAACACTTCAAAACATGAGGCCTATTTACTAGGAGGAGTAATTCCTGATAGTAACTGTTCCACTTTACAGTGACCTAACTGAATGTTGTTATAACGAGAGTCAGAGAGAGTCAGTAAGAGCYTTAGTTACACTTTTTAGTTTAGTGACAAGAAAATTGCCAGTARCAGAAGCCTTTCATGTAAATATTTAATACTGCCCTGCCCTTCCTTGGTGAATTTACAAGCCATTCCACTTGTGTCAGAGCCATGATGTCTCTGGCCTAACATGTATTTATTTATTGTGTACAAAGCTTCAGGGAATGAAAATTGTACCCATCTTCACTTGGTTCATTCACCAGGATACCAGATGGAATTGAAGCTCATTGGTTTTTTTTTTTTTATCTACACTTGCCATAAACACTTGTCGTAAACAGTTGACTTCGGGAGAGCATGTAGGCTCAGAATTTCAGTTTCCCTTTCTTCAAACCAAAGCAAGGTCCTTAGCTTTTCTGAAATAYAGTGATTTAAATTGTAACTTCAGTATACCCTAGTAGCTGCCAGAGTGGTTCCACCATCAAAATAGTTCACATTCTTAGACATCAACCTCTCCTTCAGATATCAAACCTAAGCGATACTCCTTAATCATTACGATATAGTCCTCAAATTTCCAAATTCTGGTCCTCATTCCTAAGGCAAGATTTCCTGAATCTTAGTTTAAAATTATAATACACCTGCATATACCTTTGAGAGTCAGCTTATGCTGTTTTGAAGTTGGCATAATTTTCAATCACTTTTGTGTACACTTAAGAACACTTAAGAAAGCAATTATCTTAGACTGTATTCTGAAGGACAAAATGAATGTGTTTTTTCAATTAAGTTAGCAAAGCATAGCTAGCTTCCTATGACAAAAAAAAAACTTTTAGTCACAAATTCTGCTATATGTTAATTAAAGGGAAGTGTTTCAAAATATATTCCTTCAACACAACTGTGTTATGCATGTTAGCCTGCATCTTAGTGCATGTGTAGATAGTTAGCTGATTTAATATCGCTGGAAACACATTGGTTTTGCCTTGCAAGACATAGGCTTGGTCATGCAAGCAGTCAAACATTCATTGAGTTTATCTGCTTCCATTAACTGTCATTTATCAAAATTATGCTTGAAAACTTGTTTCTCAATGGAAACACATGTGACAAATTCTAACTCCCCCTTTAGGACGGGAAAAGGAAGTCAACGGAGGTGTTTGGTATTTCTCAAGTACCTCTGCAATGCTGCTCCGCTCAGGCCGTGAAAAGCCCTATGACAGACCTCCCCATGGAAGGCAGCCTGTGAGGAAGCGAATTCTGCTTGCAAATATGAGAACAGCGCCTAGAAAGCCAGGTAACCCTTAACTGAGTGACAGGTATTTTTATAATTATGAAAAGAGTATTCCAGTCCAAGACAGAAGCCAACAAAATTAAGTACCTGGAACAGCTTTTCTAGAAWGCTCTCAAGAATAAAAATATTTGGTGAGAAAAAGACCCCAAAAACTACCTTTAAAATAAAAAGAACAGAAACACTCCCTAACATACTGACGTTATATCTTTCACTTCACCAAGTTCAGACCAGTAGTTCCTAATATACAAATGTACCTYCCTGGAAAAGAGTTAATGACATAAGCAGGCCTGCCAACCATTTTAGTTTGGGCATTGTACTAGTTCTTGTAATCCTAGTTAAAAGTAGAATTCTTAAACTACAGTTACTACAATACAAAATCTTTAAAAGGTTTGCTATAYTGATTGTTGTAGTTGTTTTCCTGTTGCTTTTTAGAACAACACGTCCTTTTTTTTCTAGAAGCCTRATCTTCAGTTGCCTTTTTAGAGAAAACCCTTGTCCAACCATAAATAAGCTATGCATATAATAAAAGATCCAACAGAGCGTGTCAGACCTGCCCCTTCTGGAGGGTGTGATTTGGGCTGTCAGAATGCACACCATCCTTCTCTTCCATTGTGTGTTTGGAGTTTCTGCTCAGCCTAATTAGGGTGGAGAGAAAGCTTCTTGGAAACAACACATTGTTTCAAAATACTTCCTTAAATACAGATGTTTCAGAGGAGTTATCTTGTAAATGAAGTGACGAAGTTTTGGTGAAGTCAAGCATTCTTAAGACATTATGCCACTGCTGATGCATTCTGTGTGTCCTGTTGTTTTGCTTACCTAATTTTTCTGGCAAAGACWGGACTTTTTATCTTGCACCATATCCTGGAGGTCTGTGTGATCTCATAAACTGCATTTGAAAGCATCAAACCCCTTCCAGTAAAACCATGTTCTGCTGAACATAATCAAAATTGTGCCTTATGGTGTTATTCTGCAGGTGTCTGACATCCTGGTGTCTGGACCTAAATATTTCTGACATCCAGAACAGCACAGTTGCATTCAGGAATGAAAGGGAACTATTTCCCTCCTGTCAGATTTTAGCTGGGGGGGGGGAGGTGGGGGGGAAGTCTTTTATTTTCAGTAAGAGATTTCTGATCCCCAAAATAAATGCTGCTATTTTAGGTAACCATATGAACTCTAACCTAGAAGTCTTGTTTATACATAGATCCAATTTTCAAAATGCAAAATTGAGAAAGTACTTACCTGTGAACTACAGGAAACAATAAACAATATACTGCAGAGAAAAATTCCATACTTTACGTCTTACTTTCTTCATAATGAAGACTTCTAACTTTATTTTTCACATCTCTCCATTTAAAGATGTCTGTGAACAGCCTTGCTTTGGCTCATAGATCTTCCCAAAGAGCTCCATAGGATACTCTAAGTCTATTCGTTTACCAGCTAACTGCAAACGTAGACCCACTTTCCCACGTGCAAAATCATCCAGTCCCCTTTAGTCTTTTTCAACACAGCTATCTGCATGCTGTCCACCATCCCTTTGTCTTCCCCTATGGCTCAGGCTCCTGGGTTGGAAGCCATTTTGTCAAACTCAAGTTTTCACACGTTGCCTCTCTGAAAAGTTCAGCATACATATTTTCTGCTCACTGGCATAACCTTCTAAGCAAAGAAATATTTATTTTCCTTCTTTGCACCAAAATCAAGCCCTCAGAGCAGCTGCTTAAGCCTACCATGTAACTTCTAATATACATTGGCTCTACTGCTCATAGTTCAAATGTGCATGGATTATCAAGCAGATTTTTAGAAAAGAAAACCTAGATCTTTTCATTATGGAAGGTTGCCATTTCTCTATTGATAATAAAATTAATTGCAACTCTTTTTTTATTAGTGTTTAGCCTGCGAGAAACAGTGAAATGTTATATACTAACTGAAGATTCAAAAACAGTGCATTTTGACATAGATGAAGATGGTCATCATGAAATATCTACCAAGGACTCACAATCCCATGAAGGTAGTGTGCTTTATATACCAAAACTGACCAACTCTATGTATAGTACTCAGGACATTTTAAAATGTATTATTAGAAGTAATGTGTCCAATCCTGGGCCCCTCCAAGTGCCATTCACTGGCTCCCTGATGGCCCACTCCAAGAAGGACATCGAGGTGCTGGAGAGTGTCCAGAGTGTGCAACAAGGCTGGGGAAGGGTCTGGAGCGCAAGTCCTACRAGGAGCAGCTGAGAGAGCTGGAGTTGTTTAGCYTGGAGCAAAGGAGGCTCAGGGGGACCTTATCGCTCYCTACAGCTGCCTGAAAGGAGGCTGTAGCCTGTTCTGAGGTGAGGGTCAGTCTGTTCTCCCAGGTAACAAGAGACAGGATGAGAGGAAATGGTCTCGGGTTGTGCAGGGGAGCTTTAGATTAGATATTAAGAAAAAATTCTCTAGTGAAAGTGCTGCCAAACTTTGGAACAGGCTGCCCAGGGAAGTGGTTGTGTCATACACCACTTCTGTAGGGATTTAGGTGTTTGGATGTGATGTTTAGGAACATGGTGTACTCGGCAGTGTCAGATTGGTTGTTGGATTCAATGATCATATGGGTCTTTTCCAACGTAAATGATTCTCTCTTCCTGTTCTCTGTAGACATAAAATTATATTGTATCTGTATGAATATGGATAATGATACAAGAAAACTTTTATCCTGGTTTACAGTAGGTATGTAATATATTTAAATAATAAGATTAGATTGTTTATGCTATTTGACTTAGTGGGAAGTCTAGACTTCACTAAAAAGAGAGAGAAAGGAAAGATAATCATCAGTAACAAGTGCTAGGTGGAGAAAATTAGAGCATATTTTGGAATTTGTGGGGTTATTTTATTTTTCATGTAACTCTTTTGTCTCAAATGGGGTTTCTCTATTTGAGACCAAAGATGTTGTCCTAATTATCATCATGGAAACAGTTAGAGGTAAAGGTTGGTAGAGAACAGTTAAATAATAGCAAATGCAATTATTCTAGAATGATGCAATTATTCTTGAATGATACAATTTCCAGAGATATGAAAATAGGAAAAGAACCAATAAACCGTATTTCCAACCAAATTAGAGGTAAAACTTGAAATCTTCAAGTTAGCTATTGAATTACTAAAACTTTTATTCTATTAAATTGTGAATAATGACAGCAGACATTGATAGTGTGTTCAAGTGCGCTTTATATATTTTTCAGTATCTTTTTCTTAATAACTCCATTGAATTTTGAAGTTGCTCAATAATTAGTATTGTTACTTTATGAASAGAATCAAAACCTGTATAGGTATACAATGGGAGCAGTTTGTGAATACATACATGGTCTGACAAGTCTGATGTAGAAGATAATGACATATCTAGAAGAAAGGAAAAAAAAAGGAAATGAGGTATAACATAACTGTGAATCCAAATATAAGCACCACAGACATACATTCATGATGCAGTTAAGACAACATAAATATTAGCAACCAGTTGTAACTTAGAYGTTTGTGGCTTTGATCTGAAGTGGATGATGTTTTCCCCAGCTGACTGGCTGTGTGATTCAGGCTGATGTTAGAAAAGCCAGAAACCACCTGCTGTTGCTACCTGTTACTTTCCAATTTCCTACATTTCATATTAGGGCCCTCACTTTCACCGCCAAAGCATTTCATGTTCCTCTTTAATAGCAGATTAGACCTTATCTTTGGTCACCAACCTCTAGTTTCTGAGGAGCATCCTCTTTTGCAAAAGATAATTAATGAATCGATACACTTATTAGACTCAGCGATSGGACTTCAATGTATCTGTTCACAAGTCTACCTGTACAGCCTTCCAGGGTTAAATTAATTCAGAGAACCTCAAGAAAAAAAATCTGATGYCTGTTGCTATTGCACATTCTCTCTCAAACGTTTCAAAACAATTCTTTAAATTGTTTGTAATGTTTTTAAATTTGAGGACTGTATCTCTAATTCCAGATATTTGTTAAATATCTTCTATTTTAGATATTGCATGGTTAAGTGTGTTCACAAGGAATGAAGCACCAGTTACTGATGAGCCTCTTGTGGGAATAAAAGGTATAAAGTCTCTTGTGAGAATAAAATGTACCATCTTTTTGTTAGGATCTGGTTTTGAAAATACCTTTGAGAATAGTAAAAGAAGGTGGTAGKGCTTTACACCTAGACTTGACATTAGAAGTAACATACTGTACCAGTTTTTGTACTTAGCTCATGTTACTGGACAGCTCCAAAAGTAAAAGAGCCATTCTATGTTCCATAAGAACCCTTCAACGACACAAAATTTGCTTTGACTGAACATGAATGTAGATAAGGGAATATATTGTATACAAGCTATAAGATATAAATTTTTTTAAATAGAAAAATGTGAATGTCTTATTGCTGGTATATGARTCTTAACTAACAAAGTCTGTTTTAGCAGCAGAGGAAATCAGAAGGAAATTAATATGAAGAAAGGTGAGGCACACTTCTGGAACTTTCATATTGTATACATAGGAAAAGATTGCAAAAATTGATGATATATTAGTTCCAAGTATTACAGAAGAAGAAAAATGCACTCTAATTCCAGCCTGGAATCAAAGGCTCCTGTAACCAATGAGAGCAAATATCCATCTGGTCCAGTACTGTACCTTGAAGAAGGGCCAAATGTGGATCTCTAGGGAACAATATAAATATATTGATATCCCCCCAAATCCCAATGGTTTGCATTTTAGGGATATCTCAATCAAGAAGTTATTTAATTTTTTTTTTTTTCATTTCAAGCCATTTTCCTTGCACAGATTTTTAAATTGTCCATTTTACTCTGATAAGGTTTTAATGACAAAAGAGAAGTAATTCATTCAAAAGCCATTAGAGAGTGGAAATATCACATATGCAGTCATGGAAAGGTTATTTRCTTTCCTTGCCATTCACTGGCTCCCTGATAGACCACTTGTCTTTCAGAGGTGAGAGAAGAAGTAGGGTTCCTTTTGTCTTACTAAGACTAAATAATATATAAGTCACAATAAATGCTACAGATGGAGMAAGCCAAGGATAGTTAGGATATGGGTCAAATTGATGGATGTCCCTGGTCAACTGGATGGACTCTTGCATACCTCTTTTTTTGCCACTCTTCCCTCCAAATGAGAACACTGTTAACTTGGATAAGAAAACTGTCTTAACTGCTGATATGCTTCTTAAATGCTGCAACTCAAATTGGACAATTGCAGCTGAGGCAATATAAGGTGATGTCACAAAAACTAATAAAAATTACAGAATTGTAGACCTACAGTCTACTATATTTATCTGAATATCTGTGTAAACTGAGTAAAGCATACTAGGTTTAGGCTAGAGAGTTTTTCTCAATTTTTGACAAGGATTTTTGTGCTATTAGACAGTTGTAGCTGTCTCAGAAAAAAATACACAAAAGCATTATAGGTAAGGAAAATTAAGACAACTAAAATCAGAGCCAAGAGCAGCTAAAATTAGGTGGGAATAACATGTTCTGCTATTCCAAATATCCTGCAAAGGCTAAAAAAATGCCTTTGGTAATAAGTGAAAAAACCCCTAAATTCCTTAACTGCAACTGTTAATGCATAATAGTCTAAAGTCTTTAAAATTTGCATTTATTGGTTGCAGACGTAAACACATAGATCAACTGCCATTTTCTTTTATACTTTGTGCTCTAAATGGTACACTGGAGATACTTCTAAAATACAAGTAGTATTATTTGAAGTAAGTCTGCAAAGTCAGTCAGATTGGTATAGCATCACTGACTAGTCATTAATGTAATGGTTTGTGTTGTACCAGTTGGCAGAGTTTTAATTACTTTTTGCTGAGGCCTTGAAGTACCAGAAGGTAACAACAAACACTGTCAGTTTATCAGGCTGAAGAATGTCCCATTTTATTTATATAGTCTTACTTCCTGCAGCTGAAAAAAAAAAAAAAAAACAGTGCTAGCTGGATAGCTCAAAAATTGAATCAATCCAATGCACCAACAATTATGATAGAAGGAATTTGATGTAGAAAAATGTAGAAAATAAAAAGGAAAAAATTCTACATTTTCCATAGTGACGTATACATAGTCAGGTATGTACCATAAAGATGTTTATTACAACTATGTGTTATCTACTACTATCTATGCCTTTGTAGCTCATATTATTTATATTAATGTATAATTGATATTCCATACATTGATTATAAATGTAAAGAAATATATATATGGCAAATTAAAATCCTCACAAAGTCATAGGTCTGAAATGTTTTAGACAAGAGAACAATATGAGTAATTGTATTTATTTCTATTCCTACATCTATAAATGAAAGTGTTCTCTTTGTAGAGTTCAGCTCTGCTTCATTTTATAAAATGATACTCATTATTACGATACTCTTCTCTGTGTAAAACAGATTCGAAAAATTTGGTGATCCTCACACAGAGATCAAAGCTTAATGAATTTGTTCTATTGTGCAATGGTAAGAAGCATCTCTCTCTGAAGGTAAGAAGTTGCTTACTTTTACTATAACTTCAGGGTGCTCTTTCTTACTATAGAGTGATTTCCCCTACAGACCTTCTCAAATTCTCTTTACTTACTGCCTTCCACATTTCATAACTTCTGAGTACATCTTTTTATTCTGTCTTGGGAAATTATCAAATAAGGTTATTGCAAAAATATTTGGGTTGGGTAGTTAACTACTGCCAGTAAAAGACAGTTGGGAATGTTGGGATCCAGTCTCTGTGGAGGAAGAGGAAGCTTCTTAGCCAGAAAACATGCAGGAAAAGAAAAGAGGAGTAAAAGTAGAATTCTTGCCTAGGAAAGAGATTAGTTTAAAATGGAAATTATTTTCTTCCAAGGAACCCGCATTACAAGGTAAGGAATGCGATGAAAACAAAACACAGCTGAACATCCTGTTTAAAACATTTTCCATCTGTTCTCTAAACATTCTCATTTTCTCAGCCTTGTAAAGGTTTATTTCTGGTAGGAAGAGAAGGCAAGGATAGTCTTCGGTAATAAGGGATTATAAGCATTGCTAAAATCTGGCTGAGAAAGAATGCTATGTTGCAATTTACCGTCTAAAACAGAGCAAAGGTCCAAGAACCTCTGTTTACACAGGTATGTTAAGATAAAGAATGACCCTTGATCTAAAGTCAGCCATGCAGGATGGTGTAAATCACCAAATGCTTCTCAAAAAATCTTTGATGTTTTTCATTTGTTTTTAACTCAAAGATGACTCCACATAAAATCTATTTCCTGTCTTTTCCTAGGGAAATGTATGTTGTAAAACACATAAATTATATTTATAGACTATTACTCACAAAAAGGGATTTTCCTTTCTGTCCCTGAAATAGCAACTATTTTAAAAAGATGTTTCAGACTCAGAGATTACCTTTTCATAAATTAATTTAAAAGTTCTCCAGCAAATCAGAAAACTGAATGTTGAGCCTTAAGGGCTTTTACTTTCCAATGAACTATTACAAAATTCCAGAGTTTACCAGATTTTGTTTCTTGACATAATTGAAAGCAGTTGCTGTCTGAAGATGAGATAAAAAGATAAGACATAAGACATACTTGGTGTCTACCGAATATGTAAAAACTTGGAAAGCTCATAAACCTTTCTTTTTCCAGCACAAAACAAATAACTTTCTAAATGTCAGTGAGAATTCTGAAGACGACAACGCTTCTTATCTGGAATAAAGTTGTGTTATCCTGGCACAACATGGTTCAGTCAGGGTTGAATTACTAAATCATAGTGCCCAGAATCTGGGCATTAAACAGTTTGAACGACTGTCTTAAGTATTCACTTTCAACCCAATTAATTTTTCATTGCAAATAGTAACGGAGGAATATATTAATAGAAGTTTTTCAAGAACTTACCAATTTATCAATTTTGGATAATTTGAATGTAATAATTCATTATTATTTTTTTTAAAGATAGTTTTCTTTAGAATTAATGCAACATTTGATGGGTTTAAAAAGCAAAATATGAAAAAAAAAAACCCCAAACCATATTAAATTACAAAACTAACAAATCTGTGTGGTTGTAAACACAGGTCTTAAAAGCATCCTGTTCAGAGACAGATTATCCTTCAGTGGAAAGATGCAATGTGAAAACATGCAACCATGAAGATCCTGACTTTAAACAGGTATACAATTATGATCAAACAAATAAAAACCTGTGTGTGAGGCTATGTATGCAAAAGTAGGTGGGTGAAAAGGGCAGCTAAATTCTTCCTGTTGCTCATTAAGTGACAAATTGCTTACTTTCATTTCAGCTGGCTTTCAGTGTTTTCSTCAGAAAAAGGGAAATAAGAAAATTTACCTTTCTATTTATGAGTAACTCCCTCAATCTCAAGGCACAATATCTGACTTTTGATTAAAACACAAAAGGTGGATATATTTCCTATATTATTATGCTTATACAAAATGGAGGGAGATACAAAGTAGATTTCATCTGGCATAAATTCTTACACAAGGTCTAGAAAATCTGGATGAGTGTATTAGCAGATCTAGAAGGATCAGATGACAAAAGCTGTTATGTTTTAAGAACGAATGAATCCATCAGTCATAAAATTCTGGGAAGTAATAAAGCCCTGTCATATTTTCAGACTGAATTTTGTATCAGTAGATGATTATAAATCAGGAGCAGTGCATTGTGGACAGAAATGCAGATAGCTGGGTGGCTTCTTAAAAAGTTTTTGTTACAAAAACTTGGTTTTGTTTGCATTCTCTAGATAGAAATGATAAAACATGGTAAGCACATGAAGGAAACTACTTGCCCTTTAGGATACCTTACCTGGACATTACAAACTAAAGAACATGCAAAACTAAGGAAATTTAATTAATAATAATTTTTAAGGTTGTAGAGCTGTGGGTTTATTATTCAACTGAAAAGATGATCTTTCCAATTTCAGTAGGAAAAATTAGAGCTATCTGGGCTCAAACAGTTTCAGAACTTCATAATAGCAGCTTTGAAACCCTGAGAACCTGAAATTCCCAGTCTAATATTTCTAACTTTGCTAACTTTTCTTACCAATTCCAACAAAATGAAATCTTTCTGAAATGGTTTTCAAAAGTTATGAGATACACCACTAATAATTAAGGAACAAATCTTCTGCATTTTGGGCCTGGAAAATTGAAGTGGGCCCTTCAGTTTAACTTCTGCTGAGTTACTCACCTGCCACTAATATTCCTTGGCTCTACACAGAAGGACAAAGCAACAAAGCTTAGGAAATTTATAAGGCAGCTTATTGTTCCCTCTTTGAATGCTGTAAACTGTCACAGTCRTATTGTATTTTGCAAATTACATTTAATATCATTTTTTTAACATAAAAGCCAATGCCTTTTCTGTGGAGCTGTTCACAGAGAAAGACTTACTATCTTGATGCTTGCAAGTTTTGAGAGACATCTGGAAATAGCTGTAATAGTTGCCTGTAGAGACCAGCTTATCAATTTAGGTTTTTAAACATAGTAAAAATGAAAAAATCTTTCTGGGAACCCATTAATTACCAAGTGATCTGCTAGTGAAGATAGAGAGTGACCTTCTCATCATGGTTTCTTGCTGATGCCCTGAAATAGAAGAAAAAATGTTACTCATTTGTATGGGAAGAGATCAGAAACCTGCACTTGAACCACATCTAGTTGAGCAAAGAGGCAAAATGCAAAGAGGCAACTCTGAATCATGAGATTCTTAATAAACCTTCTAAAATGAGTGCACTTATCAGCAAATAACTTCTAGTCTGATGAATAAAGCCTGCATTGTCCTTAGTATGAGAAAGTGTGGGAGCAGTGCACTGAGATGGAGAAATACTTCTCACAGATAATGACACAGCTATGCAGGGCTGCAACATGATATTTAATCTGCTAGCTTTAAATAGTAAATCTTAAAAACAGATGTTTTCCCTCTTTTAATTTGAAGATGGCCAGTAGAATCACCAGAAATGTGAGAATCTGTGGAACCTGTTGAAATACCAGGAAGAGTTGCATAAAATGCTGTAAACATTCATTTCTCTAACCAAGGCTATGGAAGCACAGTTCACAATCAATATTAATTGGAACATCTCTTATTGCATTTAATAAAAAATTTCATTAGGTTATTATAACACTAAAATTATAAAAAAAAATGCAGCAAGTAATAGTTTACAATAACATCTGATTCTGATTGGGGATTAAGTCAAAAAGGTATCATAGGTGATGAGCAATATTTATTGCAATGCTGCCATGCTAAGAACCGAAAACTGCATTGTAGGCACAACTGTGGCCTCATGCAGTGCAGCATCTCAGCCAGAGCAGCAGTGGAGAAACCAACCCCAGAAGTTGACTCAGGAGCATTTACTGATAACTGTAATTACTTTATAATAGAGTATGCTTATCATCATTAATAATATCATAGAAGCAAATGCAGTTAGCCACAWAGCAGGATGACCTAAGAGCTACAGAAAAACATTTCCCTTTAGCTCCTCCACTGAAAAGGTTTTCCCAGGTTCCCTGCCCCTTATGTATCTTCCCTGTAGACAAGGCTGCTCTCATTTTACAATTTTCACTAATTACGTGTAAATTTTTACTACTTCTCTTTTTCACTCATCCAGAAACACAGGAATTAGTGAGTATATACTGGTTATCAAAGAAGTACACATCTTCTTCGGTACATATTTGTAGTATCTCACTTCAGTGTAACTTCTGTTCTGATTCAACCATAGGATTCAACATAGGTCATATTTTTGACCCATTACTGCCCTCAGACTTATGCAGATGTATACTTAACCTCTCAGCTTTTCTTAAGTACTAGTAGCACTCAGTTTTCCCTCAGTTTCAAATCTTCCCAAATGAACACATTTGCTTAAAAGATTACTAAAAAATAGAATTCAACAATTCCAGTCTCTTGATCTGGCTGCTTCTCTTCAAGATGTTCCTTGCTTGATAATGCGAAGTTATTAGGTGATTGTATCGGGACAGCATTTTCTCCAAATTTTGACTGTTATACCCCAGTCTGGGTGGACTGGAACTTGAAAGAGTACAGCCATAAAAATTCTATTAAGAGCTATAACAGTTTTTATTCCACGTCCTCTCTATTTTACTGCGTAGTTTGATGAAGCTAAATAAGAGAGAGATTACACCAGAGGCTAGCTACACAGTCATGAAAGACTTTATTAAGATACTACCCTTTATTCCAGTTAAATAGAACAAAATAAACAAACTAAACAGGTAAAATCTGGAAAATTAGGCCCACCAAGGTAGCTTGGTTCAGAAGTTTTGACCTTGTAAACAGTGCTTGGCAGCAGGTTGTAGGGACACAGTCCTTTCTGGCACTCATTGTGCAGCTTGAGAGGGTTTTCTTTTGCTCTAAAAGTTGATTCATCTATTGGAGAGCTAAGGAGGGATCAGCAAGCCTGAGTCACCCTTCAGTAGTCACATATGGCCAGTCTGATGGAGGGTGAAAATGGACTGTTGTGGGGTGAACAAAGTCACACCACTGTTAGGGGTTGCTCTGTCAGAGATCCTATACCTTCAGTATGAATGGAATCAAAGGTGGTAGAGTGAATTATATTGCCAAAGCATTTTTCTTCATCCCTTTGGCAGCAATGTGCAGGCAAAAGCTGACTCTCAGTGGAGAGATGTCCAATACATCTGCCAGTGACTGACCAAGGGCTGGAAGCACAGCCCTTCCAAGTGTCAGGCAGGACCAGCTGTGTAAGAAAAAGCTCTTTTGGCTCCAGCCAGCATGCAAGCCCCTATCCCAGATATTCACTCAGACCGACTCCCTGACAGTGGACAGGGGAAGGAATAGCAAGAGCAAGAGTAAGAAAACTTCTGAGTCAAGAAAAAGACTCGAAAGTATTACACACGAAGGTCAGAAAAACCTGCAAGTGATGTAAAAGTACTTACTCATCTCCTCCCATAAGCAGACTAATGCTCAGGCAGTCTCTGGGCAATAGCTTTCTTGGAAGCATACACTAAATCCACATTCTCCACCCTCTACACCAGGCTTTACGACTGRCCATGACATTGTATTCCTTTGGCCACTGTGAGCCAGCAGTCCCAGCTGTGTCCCCTCCCAGCCTCTTGCTCATCCTGGCCTATTCACCGAGGCTGAGTGGGAAGAAAAAGAAGCTCATGGTGTCGTGCACACACTGCTCAGCAACAGCCAAAACAATGGTGTGTCATCAACACTGTTTTAGACACAAATCACATAATTAATTTATAATACTTGCCAAGGTCCATTACTTCTCTGATGCAAGTGCAGTGGCAGCTCAGTTTTGCTTATCATTGTATGACTCATGCCTCTTTGACCACGTGCTCATTTCCTTCCATCATCTGAGGTAAAATGTAGATTGCAGCGTGCCCTACACTCCTTTGTGTAACATGCCATAACAACACTTCAGCTAGCCTTCAAATACATTCCTTTATCTTCTGGTTTCTTCCTAGTTTGGAGAGCAGCAGTTGAAYCTAACTTGGAGTAATGCTCATTGTACCATATTGAATCTGACCTTATATAATTTTGAGTCTATTTATTTTAAAACTTGTATGGTAGTCTCTCATCTCTTCCTGTAGTTTCCATCATAGTCATGTCTTTCTTTAGCCTGTGAACACAATATTTGTAGCACTTTTCTGACATGAGCATATGTGGGCTGTTTCAAGTGCATTGTGAATCACCTATGGGACATGAGTAAATGTGTAATTTTTGCAATTAAATGTGAAACCTAAGATGCAAATTGCTTCTTCATTTAATGCAATGGAAAACAGATGGTCACATTGCAATAAAAAATCGGTAGCTATTTGCTTGGAATTTGCAAATTATCTTGTCTGCTATTGTAGAAAATGTCCTCAGGAGGAACTTTATCTGGTAGTAGTCCACTACATTCTCCAGATTTTATCATCATTCTTCATTACAGGCCATAATAGACCTCAGCCATGATTTCTTGCAAAACTTTTTGTTCTTCAAAGACCTGCTGCACCTCCCAGCCCTAATAGTGTTTCACTGTGCTTCTATTCTGAGCTGAGATGCCTACTAAACCAAAATACGTACACACACACACACAGGAGAGCTCTTTGTACAAGAGCTGCTCCTCCACAGATGGATCTTAAATAAAAAGTGCGTTGGAAAACAGAGATGTACAGAAAAGCCATAGGTAACAGAACAGTTGTTTTTAAGAGTAATTTCTACTGTAACATTCCAATTTTACTTCAAAATAGGCAAGAAAAGCTGTGGATTGACATTGCATTGCTAGTGGCAGTTAACAGGGTAGGCCTAAGGTAAGAAAACCACCAGATGAAAAACCTAAGTTATCGTAATGCCACTGAGGAAACTGTGCTGGTGGTTTTGTGAAGCAAAGGGATCATCTATTAGTCTGGCATTATTCTGTCCTTTGAGGGAGATGGGTATTTTTTTGTTCACAGTTACCACAGAATATACCCCAAAATGAATAGTTGTTGTCTAAGATTTATTGAAAAATTGGTAAATATGAGTCACTAGAGAAAAGCATACAAGAATAAAATATAACAAGAGAACAACATACATGAAGTTTTGTCACATTTAACATTATAGAAAGGCATTGGAAATAAAACCTGTTTTTTACTCTGTGTATTTTCATAGCTGAGTGAAGATAATAACTTTTTCATCATGCATTACCAAGGAGATTCAGTGCAGTTCCAATGCTATGAAGATACAAGTTACTATCTGTGTGTGAATGACGACTCACTTGATATTTGCAAGCTGGAAAACAAAGAACCCAATGAGGAAAAGAATTTTTTCTTCAGGGTGTCATACTTACAGGAAAAATAACTCAACTAACTTTCAGTGGCCTAAGCACCCATACAGCTCCTAAGAAGAAGAGGAAGGTTGAGATCAACTAATTTCTGTTTAGGCTATATTCTTGCATTTTTATAATTTCTAGGTCACCAACATCTTTTATTTCTGTACTTTCAGTCGCAATACAGGAAGGCTAAGTTTGAAAAGCATACTAACTGATCAGTTTCTGTGTCTTACCTACATGTTTTTAAAGAAACATAATGTACAGGGGATATTTTAAAGATGGCAACAATAAGGAACATATATGAATATGATCATAAAATGTGGAGTTAGTTCTCCATGTGGTAAGCGTTTTATTTTTTWAAAAAATGTCTATTATAAGCTCACCTTAACTTGACAAGAAAACATTTAGAATGCATACACGCATATCCTAACTGACTGACTTTGAGAGGAGTGGAGAAGTTGTCTTGGGTCTATGTGAGAATGAGGGAAAATGCTGACAATTAGAAGATATCTGCACTTGTAGCTCCAAGTCAGCTCATATACTCCATTATGCAATTTTATCATCTATCTACCATGGCAGCTCTCTAAGAAAATGAACACAGAGCATCAGATGCACAACATGCAGGCAGACGGAGGGAGGCACACTGAACTGACTGGTCATAAGAGATGCCTGTGGACATTGCAGAAAATTGCTCTGACACATTGGCTTTCACTTCTGAATCATAGAGGAAACTGCAAATTGCAAAGCAGAGTGCAGAACAATTGCAAAGCAGAGTGCAGAACAACATCAGAAAATTCATAAGGGTCAAAATTACTGAACAAAAGAAACACTAGATGCTTATGTGGGTTACACTGGAGGAGCCATAAGAGTACCTACCTTTGATCAAATGGTCTATATGAGAGTCAAATGGAAGATGCTGACACTTAAATGTCTATAGAACACACCCTGCAAAGCGTAACACCTTGGAAATACATGAGACAACTGAAATGTTATCAGGACCATCACTAGGTATTAAAGATCTGGTTCTTTGCTGCTGTACATGAAATTCCACTGCGATTCAGTGGCAATTTTCTGTGATGCAAGTCATTTGAGACCATGTGTATATAAATGATAAACATGATACACCTATGCCAAGAGGCTGATGCGTAGTTGCAGCAAAACAGCCTACAAGATACTTGCAAGAATTGTTCTGTGTAAACATAATAAAAAATGCACACCTGAAATAGGACCTTAACACCAGTCAGTCAGTCAGTCAGTCAGTCAGTCAGTCAGTCAGTCAGTCAGACCAATGCACATAGCCTGCTGTAGACTAAACTCCAGAGGTCTGTGAGACCTTAGAAGATTTCATGCCTTGCTTGGATTCTTCAAATGGTGAAAATCGTTATGTTGGTTATAATGCTCACTGAAGAGAGCTTTATTATTTTCTAAATAATATTTACAACTGCTGGAATTGTCAAGAGTTTAATCAAGTTAGTGTGAAAAAGAAGAGCCTCAAAACTCTAGATATTAATTTCAGCATATATTATCCTAGAATCAAATTATTTAAGCATTACCTATGATGTTGCACAAGAAATAGATTTGGTCATGTGGTGAGTACATTAATTTCACTATCTGATACACTAACACTTCATAGTAATACATTTATTATTGGTCCTGTAATCACCTCACCAAATAATTGAACATGCTAGATGGCAAGTTGCTAAAAAGATAAGAAGCCATCATAAAGCTTGTACAAGGCATATTAATGAAATCAGCATTGTTGACACCACTACAAAAGTAACATTTACATCAGTGAAATTTGAATCTGTTTTATAGTTTAAATTATGGTTATATGCAGAATTTTGTACTTTTACTATCTGTCACCTTATTTTTTTAACTATTCAAGTTAAAAAAGCCCTTATGGAAAGGAGCAGTGGTAATGTTGTAAAATTTCAGATTTTATATCTAATATAGTGGCATTATTTGGCTCCTCTGCTCACAAAACACAACAAAATCAGACATCTTTGTAACTTTAAATGTACATAGTAGAGCAAGTTAAAAAAATCTCTATCCTAATCTTTGCTGTAGTCTTATTTTGAACATAAAATCCCTTCAAACTAACATTTTCCAATTCCCACTAATCTAAGTGTCTTGTGAGTGGCAGGGTTTTTTGTTATGTGAGGTGGAAACCATATAGAAATTTTATTTTAAAATAGAAAATGAAAGCCAGTTAGTATTTTAGAAAAATATAGTTTCTAACACTTAACAATAAAAAATCCAATGTGTTTAACATTTGAATATTAAATGCAGTTAGTATTTTTCTGTCAAAAGCAACAATATTCTTTAATTTTTATTTAGCAGATGTGATAATTATTAAAATAATGCAGATGTTTTCCTCTTGTATTTCTGCCCTTCTAAAGCTGTGCCTAAAAGAAAGTACTGCATTTTTTTTTTCTGTAGACCAATGTAATGCAAGTATTCTTCATTTATAACTTCTAATATTTTGACTGTTTTTTTTTACTTTTTGCAATAAAACCTGTTAGAAGAACTACAGTGGCTGTAAAGCAGGTGATCCTTCTCTGTGCTACACACCACCTTCATTAAAAGGGAGACAAAAGAACTAAAAGTTGGAATTATTACAAATTGTGTGCTTTACATGTGCGTATTTCCTATTTACACAAAGAGATTGCAGAGAAGAAGATTCTCTACCAGCCCCTCCCTTCACTGATTCTGGCAAATTGCATGGGCTAACAGGAGCCCAGAAACAAAAATTTGTGGCTGCTGTCATACACCTCCTTGACGTCGTCCATCTCTAGCACCATCTCGTGGACTGTAGTAAACTGTGATCCACAKTTTATTACACCAGCAAGCTATTTCAGCTCGTCAGCTGAAAACAAAAATACATTTCTTTTTTCAAACTTTGATACTAATTTCCAGATGAATAGAGCCTAGATTCCCTGTGTCTTGAATGACTAAAGGGGCAGACAAGTGGGTCAAAGATTGAAAACTTACCCCTCTATTTGGCATTTTCAASACTATGTCTTCATGTGATGGTGTGCCCCCACTTGCCCCTTCCTGCTCGAGCAATGGCATGAGTGATGTTTGTGGTGGCTGCATCTGACTGATGGATACAATAGTTCACAGCCAACTCTTGCTCAGCAGCCAAGGGCTGCAATTGTTGTCCAACAGGCAAGGGCTGGTTGAGCAGGTGCTGACCCCAAATACAGCCAGTGTAAATCAACCATCCTCCTCCACACACAAAGGACAGCCAGGGCCTGTTGATCTCTCCCGTGGGATAGCAGGGCTGCAGCCAGGATCTCCCCTTGAGCAGGGACACCTCTCAAAGTTAATCCTCAAGGCTGAGAACAGGTGTTGCTGTAACATYCTYCTTGCTGTAACAGATGCRCAGTAATTGACCAGTAGGACCCTAAATTTTGAAATCTTACCTCAGTGACATAAAGGGTTGATTGTGCCCTTTTGGTTGATGTAATATTTAGACATGAATCATTGACCAAGTCTGGGACTTAGTCTGGATCCAGCTGCATTGAGCTCTCCTCATGAAAGAAGTTTAGAAAGCAATGGGATCCTCCCTGAAGGTCATGGCCCAACAGCAGGGTCTCCCATAGCTCTGCCTGAGTCTGTCCTTTATGCAGTTAATGATCAAGAGCTCCATGCTATGGAATCTGATTAAACCACTGTCACATTTACTATGAAAGTTTGTGAAATCATTGTTTTGTATCAAAAAACCTATTGCTGCCTCTCTGTTACAAGTGAAGTGCACCCACAACACAGCAGTACTGTGTTCAGTTCTGGGCTTTCCAACACATACTGGAACAAGGCTGAGCAGAGGCATGAAAAAGTGAGGAGGATTGAGCATTTGGGGAGGAAGAGCTAGGACAGCAGTTTCTTTGTTCAGACTGGAGATTAGAAGGATGACTCTTCTCCTACCTGCAGGGTGATTGTCCAGAGGTGGAACCAAAGTTTCCTTAGAGGTGCACGGAAGAATCACAATAAGCAGAAGTCACAAGTTATGAATTTTGATTGTCTGTAAAGAAAAAGAAAAATTATAGATAGATAGGAATTTAAGYAATTGAAGTAATTTGTGATTACAAAGTGCTCATCTTCTGAGTTTTTCAAAATTCGGTAGAACAGGGCTCTGTGCAATTTCATCTGATGCTGAAGACAAGCCTGCTCTGAACAGATGATTTGAAAAAATGACCTCAAGAAGTTCTGTCCAACATAAACTATACTATGATCCTGGGATTCAAAGGAAACGTCTGTGTCTTGGAACTTAGAGAGCATTTAATCCAAAGAGTAAAATAATTAAATAGAAACTACACCTAGATGAACAACATAAAAGAAAATAAAAAAACCCATCCTGTTGATTTCACCTCAAAGTGCAACATTTTCAGGATTACATACAGGCTTGAGGCCAAGAGAAAATACATTCAGAGTCAGTAAAAATGTTATTACAAGTGAAAGATTCCCTCTCGATCTCCAGAAAACTCAAATTAAAAAATGTAGGCTACTTCAAAGCAGAAAATTATATAAGGAGAACAAGGATTCATTYGGAAAATAAAAAATAATTGCAATATGACTAACAGGAGTCTTTCGAAGTAAGTGTCATTTTACTTGATTGTTTCTGATGTAGTTCTTGCAATAACTATCCTCTCAATATCTGAATGCACTCAGTAAGAACATCTCATTAGAGAGAAATCAAGTCACTTCTGTAAGGATCTACTCCACCCTCCACCCCAACGTTAAAAGTAATGAATAAACTACAATTTTGTTAAAATCAAAATATATGTTAATTATCATAACAATGTTACAAGCTAAGAGATCTGATAGACCTAGCTGCCTGTGTTGCCTAAATTTTACAAGCTACAAAAATTATCATCAGCAAMATTAATTTCCTGCAATAAAAACGTATTTTTCTCTTATATACATTGAAGTTGGTGCTGAAGAAAGGTATGATATTTTCTGAAATACCATAGTGCCTTGTTAGGCACTATACCAGCAAACCTGACATTTCCACTGCTTTCTCATAAAAATGCTTATGAGGAGAAAGCCACTAGATTTTCAGTATTTTAGTGAAGTTGTTGATGTAGCAGGCTTCAAGCCTAACCACTGTCAAAGCAAATAACAGATGCAATTAGTAGACCTTGTCAGGAGACTTGAAAATATTATTTAATATATCTTTGCTGCCAGTTTAYTGACAAAGCAATTCTAAGATGTTTTACAGAGACAAATACAAGGGATACATGAAAAAAATGGGGCAAGAAAGTCTAGAAAAAAAGGATTGAAATTGGAGAAAAAAAGCAGTAAATATTTTTTTTTTTCCTAATATCTAATCTAAGCCTACTATTTTTCAATTTAAAGCTATAGTCCTTTGGACTGTCACTACATGCTTTTATAAAGAATTACTCTCCAATAGGCTCCCTTCAGGTAGTGGAAGGTTGCAATTAGGTCACCCCAAAGCTTTTTCTTCTCTTGGCTGAACAATCCCAATTCTCCCAGCTTCCTCATAGGTGCTCCATCCCTCTGATCATCTTTATGGACTCCTCTGGACTCACTCCAGCAGTTCCATGTCCTTCCCATGCAGGGCCCCCAGAGCTGGATGCAGCCCTGCAGGTGGGGTCTCACAGAGCAGAGCAGAGCAGAGGGGCACAATCCCCTCCCTGGCCCTGCTGCCCACCCTGCTTTGGATGCAGCCCAGGACACATTTGTCTCTCTGGGCTGGGAGTGCTCATGGCTGGGTCATGTCCAACCTCTCACCCAGCAGCACCCCAAGTCCTTCTCAGCAGGGCTGTTCTTATCTGTCCATCCCCAGCCTCTGCTGGCAACTCACAGGAGTTGCCCTGACCGTGATACAGCACGAGCACTCAGTCATGTGTCATGGTTTAAATCCAGCCAGCAGCCAAGCCCACGTAGTGTCTCCCTACTTCCCCAGCAGTGGGATTGGGGAGAGAATAAAGATAATTTAATAGCGAGAGCAATAGCCATGAACACAAGCGAATCAAAACAAGGAATTAATTTACTGCTTTCCATGGGCAGGCAGGTGTTCAGCCATCTCCTGGAGAACAGGGCGCCATCACAGGTAAAGGTGATCCATAAAGGCAAGTGCCATCACTCCAAATGTAACCCCTGCCCCGCTTCCTTCTTCTCCTCACTTTATATTCTCAGCATGACACCATATGGTCTGGAATATCCCTTTGGTCAGTTTGGGTCACCCATCCTAGCTGTGTCTACTTCCAATTTCTCATGCACCCCCAGTCTCCTCCCCAGTGTGGCAGTACCAAAAGCAGAAAAGGTCTTGGCTCTGAGCAAGCCCTGCTCAGCAATAACAAAAACATTTCTGTTATCAACCCAGTGCTCAGCACAAACCAGAAATACAGCCTTATGCCAGTCACTGTGAAGGTTAACTCTACCCCAGCCAAGCCCAGTACACTTCATTAAACATCATGAGATTCCCCTGGATCCACTTATTAACTTGTCCAGGGCCTTCTGGAAGACATCCCATCCTTCAGCTGTGCCAACCATATCACTCAGTTTGGTGTCAAACAAATACAAAYTTGCTGAGTGTGCACTCAATCGCTTTGTCTATGTCATGAATGAAAATATTAAATAACACTGGAACCAGTACAGACTCCTGAGGGACATCACTTGTCCCTGATGTCCATTTGGACTCTAAGCCATAGACCACTTACCCTCTGGATGCCACCATCCAACCTCTTTCTTATCCACCAAACGATCCATTCAACAAATCCACCTCTCTCAAATTGAGGCAGAGCATATTGTGGGGGCCTGTGTCAAAGGCTTTACAGAAGTCCAGACAAATGACATTTGTCATTCCCTTGTCCACTGATGCTCTCATTTCATCACAGAAGGCCACTGAATTGGTCAGGCAGGACTTGCCCTTGGTGCAGGCTGTCCTGAACCATTTCCACGTCCTCCATGTGCATTAGTACAGCTTCTAGGAGGGTGTTTTCCACTTATCTTCCCAGGCACAGAGGTGAGGCTGGTACTTCCCAGGGTCCTTCTTTCTACCCTTTTTAAAGATGAGTACAATGCTTCCCTCTTTACAGTCACCCGGGATTTCACCTGACTGCCAAGACTTTTCAAACATAATGGAGGATGGCTTGGCAACTATATCACCCATTCCCTCAGGACCCTGGGATATGTCTCATCAGGCCCCATAGACTGAAGTAAACTCAGATGCCTTAAGTGGACCGGAACCCAATCTTTACAATACAGTGGGAGGGACTTTGTTACCCCAGCCCCCATCCTGCTGTCCATCCACTTGAGAGTTGTGGGAAGTGAGGTTGCCATTGAAGATTAAGGCAAAAACTTGTTGACTGTCGCAGTATTTTCCACATCTGTTGCTTTCTACTTTTTCCAGATGAGGTGATCTGCAATGTTTAGGTATATGTGTTCTATACAAAACTCGGTAAATTTAAAAGGTTTTAACTGTGGACACAAAATGCTTACCAGCACAGAGTTACAAAATTTCATATATTATTCTAATTGTAAAAAAAAAAAAAGAAAAAGAAAAAAATGTTTAAAATTAGAAACTTCATCTGCCTTTATTGTAATGCAAAAATTAGTATCTATAGAAATTCGG